AGAAATTAACACACACCCTCCCCACCCCAATATTTACATTAAGGTAACTGCACACAATAGCACTAGAACTTCCTTTTTAAGACCCAATTCAGCAAATCATTCATATTTAGCAAAGCATTTTAGCATGCATGTTAACTGCTCTGCTGAATAAGGATGGACATAAAGCATTTGTCATCATCTCTGCAGACAGAGTAAAAATGTACTTTTAAAGACCTAGCAGAATTGAGATCATCATAGAACATAAAAAGAAATGGCACGGGTACTTGGAATTCAGAGTAGTTTTTTTTTTTAAATGAACAAAAAATAGCTAGAGATTGGTAATGGGATAGGGACCCCTTTTTCTTTGTAGGTCACTGGTTCGTATCAGTGGTCTGCAAGTCAAATTTTTAAGCACTGAAAAAAGCAAAATTGTAGATTTAATAGTGACAGTCTTTTGCTTTCACTTAATTGTGTCTTTTCTATTTTTAGGAATGCTACTTATCTCTGCAAAAGACATTGCTACCATATTTCACAGAACCTGTGAACTAGGAAAAGTAAAGGTTGAGTCAGCATTTCTGTTATAAAACCCCATTTATAATCTAGGTGAAGTGCAACATGTGCATGGTTCATTAGCCTTTTAAAAAAAAAACAACTACTCCTACAGAAAAGCAAAGGAAGTCATTTTACTTCTTGAGCAATCTTTTCTTTTTGTTACCAAAAGAGACCAAATACTGGATGTCTGAAAAGTGGTTATTGAATGACAATGAGCAATTTTATTTCATAACTTTTAATCTGTTAGTATCACAAATGGTGAGACTGATATGATATTAAATGAGGATTTAGACAACAGACTTCAAGTCAATAATGTGTATGTGCATAATATACACATTTTTAAAAAACACATGTCCATCCAATAAGCAAAAAAGAAAGAAGCTAGCCTGTTCTCCTAGGTGAATTTTTGTAACCACCCATGATGGTGAGGGAGTGCTGAGGGTGGTGGACTAGATGACCTCTTTAGGTCCCTTCCAGCCCTACATTTCTATGATTCTGGGATGGGAGTTCTCCCCAACAAAGATAAAAATATTTTTCAAGAGGATAGTAATGCTAACTTTATCACAAAATAAAAATTAGGAATTCATACCCTGCATAGCATTACATTCCAGGTAATATCACAATCTGTGTGGAATTTAAAGCGTGTCCATATGCACTTTTCAGACAGTACTGTTAGGTACCATTTAAGAGCCAATATTTAAGGAGGCTTTAACACAGCCTCCAATTTTATGCCAGAAATTTTGCAGCCACAATTAACTGTGGTCATAATTTTTGGGACATAAACAACAACTATAGATGACTAAATGCCATCACTTGGACTATCAACTCTGTCTGTAGGAGCAGCCAAGTAGATGTCAAAACATTTGCACCTGAAATTGGTACATGAAAAACTGCATCTGCACTTGATTATGATCAAAAAAGATGATGAATAGTTTTTAAAGCTTTCCCCCCCCCCGATCTGTGTCAAGATGGAGCAAGACTGATGGGAAGGTACATACCATTAAGGAAGACAAGGAACACATTTGGATATGAAAGTTCTTCTCCACATAGTAAGTTTACATCTTCTACTCCAAGGTTACTGGCTAATTTAATAATCGGGCCATCTTCCATATCAGTAGTAATGTGAGTCATCAGAGCTAAGTTTTTAACCAAACCACAAGCCTAAAAAACAAATATGAACAAGTTATTCCAAAGCACATATACTGATGTTACAAACTGCACTGTTTTTAATATAATTCTGTAAATATGTACAATGTGTATTACAGCATAAGTGATAGAAATTAGGTTGGATACAAAATAATTCCCTCTAGGAAAAAACTGCTTATAAAAGAATCTGAGAAGAAAAAAAATAGAAAGTACATTCTAATCATCACACTGAAATTCCATATTTTAGAATTCAAAAATTGAAGATTTTAAATTTAAAAAGTGTGACTGCAAAGCTGCAGCTATTTTTCAAACTATTACAATGTAGTAGTATTAGAATACAAGATATATGCAACAATTTTAATTCCTATTGAGATCAAATTTAATTTTTTTTTGAAAGGTGCTAAACTTGTAAGATATAAAATAGATCTTATTTATCTCTCCATGTAAAAGTTTCTCTGAAATAGAATAATGCATCATTTAAAGAAATACAATAGAAAAATGACTCAGCATTATTAAAGAATTTGAAAATATGTAACATAGGTCTTTAGTATGGCTGAAAACGCATCTGTTCTTTTATCTATATATAAGGCTGTTTTTATGACTTAAGATTAGGGTTTCACTGGTAACATTAGAATTAACCAATGTGACAATAACTTGTTAGGATGCCAAATGTATGTTTATATTATTCATTGTAAATCAATACCAAATAAAGTTACAGCACTAAAATGGCAGGTTTTAAAGGAATCATAACAAAAGCTGTTTTGTCCATATGAAGGTATCAGACATCCCATATGCCGTAAAGTAAGCTTTAAGAAAATAAACATCTTAAATTATATAACACTTGGACATTTCAGCAAATCACTTCACCTATTTAATGCAAATGGTTCATCCTGCTTATCTTCTAGTGCTGGAAAGTCCAGCGCTCCCATCAGGCATTGTACTAGAACAATTTACTCCCAGTATCAATTGTTTGGTGAGATAGTTTTATGATTTTGTTGCATTAAAAATTTGAAGAAATTTTTCTTCACTAAACTACAGCAGTTTCTGTAATAGTCACAAATTATTTACAATAACCTCTTCTCTGAAAGTCTAAGACTCAGGCTGACCTGGCAATCTCACAATAGCAAGACACATTCATTTACAGCATAAAGGGATAAGAGTTTAAGACTCTTTGGACCCTTCAGCCCTGGCTGGTAGAGGGCGCAAGATGAGCTTCCAAAGAGAAGACGGTGCCTGATGTCATTCTGTTGCAAATCCAGATGAAGAGCTCCATATAGAGTCCCATCCAGCTCACCTCAGCCAAAAAGACGTCTGCCGTAACAAGGAATGGGGAATGCAATGAGAGAGGACTGTGTTGGGGATCAGACGGCACATCCCCATGTGCCTTAGCTCTTCACTTGAAGTGGAGGGACAGACAATGTCTCTGAATATGCCCCCTTCAACCTTTATTTTTTTTAAAATTAGGACAGTGATACTTAGAGGCAGCAACCAAGATCCAGAGCTCCATTGTGCAATGTGCTGCATGCACATAGCAAC